GGCGGCGCCAGCGAAGGGGGGGGGGGGGGGAGGGGCTTAAGCACAACCATCGGTTTGGTCAAGCTCTCCCCCCTCCCATCTGCTAAAGCTCGTCGGGCAGTCGGACCAAAAGAAAACAAAAAATAGGCCTAGTTTTCCCATCGCAGTCATTTCCGGCCATCTAAAAGTTTTCCCATCGCAGTCATTTCCGGCCATCTAAAAGTTCCAATTTTTAAAAAAAATCTTGTTATGGGAGGAGTGTGGGGGGGGGGGCCCCCCCCCCCCGCCGCTTCCACCGCCCATGCAATACATGATAAAATGTTGTGATGGATGTGGTCTGTAGACATTCCTTATTCGTCACATAACTGACTATTTTAGTAATAAACATGGTCACTTTATAATACATTTTTATTGCATTTATATACGCGTTTGTATCAGCTGCACTCACAAATTTCTTTTCATTTTTTCTCTGGTGGAGCCAGCCGTAAAGCCATTTGGGCTTATTTGACTTCTCCAGACACAATTGCATTTGACTTTGTTTGCATCTTTATTATTTTTGTCCTATTACCACCATTATGCATTGTGTGAATAAATATGAATTTGAATAAAGTGGTAAGTTCCACTTACCTACTTGAATACTCTGCTGCTTCCTTCACTGTACTGTACGTAATTTGAACAATGAATTCTCACATGTATTTATTGCTTTTGTAGCGTGACAAGTCCACGTCCATTATATTTCTTCCAGAACTGTGAACGCGTCTGGACGGTAAATCAATTACGAAATATACAACATATTTTGTCAAACCTAGAAAAATGGGTACTAACAGCTATGCCTTTAATCTCCTGTTTCTGTCATGGGCTGAGCCTCAAATTCAACATGAATTATAAAAATTAATATTGTTATTATCATTAATTTTACTTTAGAGCTTTCCATCATTAATATTATTTATATAATAGCTTTTAGTTTTGGGCAGGATATTGCCTACTATCAGTGGCGGATCTAGGAATTCGAAATAGAGGAGGCCTAGGGAGATATATTGACAGATGTTTAGAGGCTGAGGTTGGTAAATTCTATGATTATGACACCTGTCACCTAGATGACAGGAAGCACTCTAATTTTACTTCTTCATTTTTTACGAATCCGCCTATTACATACCGGTACTAAACTAGAGTAATATTTCTGAGCCAAGATTTTGGGGCAATCGAGTTAACGGAACGTGAAACACGTACCGTTAGTTTGCTGGATAAAACAAGGAAATCCATCTACTTTTCTTGTCAATTATGATTCCCAATGTTGGGTGCGATTTATTCACGTGGAAGTAGTTGTCGCCTGCACGGTGTTTTGAGTTGATGTCACATGGTTTATACTGTATTTTGAATCCATCTAATGATGATGTCAGATTTTATACACCCAAATATGGCCATATTACATTTTTTTGTCAGATAAAATTTGATAGTTTTGGACAGAGCTTAAAAGCGTAGTTTGTTAGATTTAGATGATTCGAGTTTTTCTTTATAGTGTTAATTGGCACAAACCCAAGATCGTACCAGTGTGGGCGCCATTGGTTTATATTCAACATTCACATGTTTGTGTCTACTGACATGAAGGGATGTCAATACCCAGAGGTGACGGAACTAGGGGGTGCTGCGTTATGGAGAGTAATGTGTGACCGGAAATGTTCTGCAATGAGTTGGTTGTTACCATGCACCAGTGATGTCGGAGTACAGCAAGATGAAACTATTTAAAATTTAAGACCTGCCAACTCACCCGATCCTGTCGGGTGTCCCCCGATATTTAACAAATCTCCAGTTCTCCCGATCGAATGTAATTTTCACCCGATTTCACAGGCCACCCCCTCCCCAAAAATACTCAGATTTATGCATAATTTGATTGATTTGATCGTTATTATTCAATGTATTCGCCGCCTGTTCGCTTCGCAGCGCAATAAACAAGGAGCCATTTTCAATTCGAATGTCACCACCAATGGCCAATGACGTTTTTTGGTATCTTGCATCATCTTTTGGTTAATTCTGGAAACCTCCAGTTTTTTTTGTGTAAATCTCCAGATTTTTTTTATGATTCTTAAAATAATCCCCAGATTTTCATTACCCAAGAGTTGGCAGGTCTGTATTTATGTAATGCATGAATAAAGTTCGGGGTTTGTCGGGTAGTGAAATGATTATTTTACATTTTAAGTGCTTCCTCCATGCATAAGTGTAAGCTAAATGACAATTATTTCAAAGTTCCCTCTTTCCAAGAGGGGATGCAAATGCTTTGTAAAAATAAGTACGCCGCGGTACTCATTTTCACAAAGGAATACACACAACTGGTTAGCTAACAATATGCAAATGTTGCCTAGCAAACGTCTGTACTGTAGCGTGGGTGTGGGGGCAGCAGGGGGGACGATAAGGCATAATAAGACTAGGCCTAAGTAGACAGTGCAATTATATGTGATAGAAAGTACACTTTCGAAAGAAATAAATTAAAAAAAGAAAAAAAAAATAACTAAGAATAATTCAGTTGCAGACGTACCTTGTTTAAGTATTATACAATGCTAACAATGCGGCTTTTGTAACCCTAGCTAGGCAAGGCATCCTTGTGCAAAGCAGTGGTGTTTGTTTATCCATGAAAAAATCACGCCGGGAAAGTTTGCCTTACCAGGAAAAGGTGACGTAATCTAGCTTATGACGTATGCATGCTAAGTACATTGTGAGTGTGACGTCACCAAAAAATAAACATTTTCTATTATAACCAAACTATTATTAACTACAAGGTTTCCCTTAATACGAATTAAGGGTAGCACGATCTCCTTGCCATACAAATTACAGCTCCCACTGACGTCTCAGTCGAGAAATACGGGTAGCTGAAGTTTTTCTCGCAAAGGGGGGCTATCCTACTGATGTACTGTGTAATGGGGGACAATTAGGCCTGGCCTAAGTAGACAGTGATAGAAAGTACACTTTCGAAAGAAATAAATTAAAATAAGAAAAAAAAAATAACTAAGAATAATT